ATACCCCAAAACGGTGGCTCTCGCCACCACCAAAGCATGATCGTTGTGTTTGGAAACTTGGCTGCAAGCATGGTTCACTTGGGAATTTGCAGGGTGGTTGAGACCACATGAGCATGCAAGCATGCTATACATCGCAAGGTGTATGCCCTCCATCAAGCACTGAGTGCGCATGAAATTTGCTGGGGCTGTCCTTCCTGAGGGGGCTGCTAGCCCCTCACCGTTGCCCTGGGGCAAGATGCGGCGTACCAGCCAAGGCTGCTGTCCTATCTGACAGCTGCACGACCCTATTGTGCAGCACCACTGTCTGGGACTCCCATCGGCTTTGCGCTTCAGCTTGGCCCCATGGGTGCAGTTGTACCACTCATGGTGATGACGATGCTGTCCACATCGTCCTGCACCAGCAAAATGTTTGCCAGAGGTTTTGGGTGAGGCGCAGGCCCCAGGCCTGATGGCGAGTGCCTGACAGCGGCTTCGCTCGAGTGTAGGTGTCTGCAACGCATACAGAAGGGGATCGTACATATGAAACACAGGTAGTGGTTGGGCAGCATGAGCAACGGATTGAGCGCGTGACGCGCTCAAACAGCTGCTGTGCCTCCCAATGTACACCAACAGCACAAATGTTTTCGTACTGTGCATAGCAATGAATGTGCTCCCCCTGTTGTTGATAAAATATACGTCAGGGACCATGCCTACGGGATCGTTCCGGCTGCAGCAGATTCGCCACATGACGGCAACAAACTATCATGATATTTCAGCTCTGATTTTGAGTGCCTCATATGCGAAGTGATCAGCCCCGCAGGTGCGCGGATTGTGGCGCCCCGTGATCTCGGGACGTGATCGTTGGCCCAACCACCCTAACTGACGCATGCACAGTGCCCAGGCACATCCACGGACACGTTGTTGCCGGCGGAGAAGCTCCCGGCGCCCCGTGTCACCCCTGCTCCGACGCTGGCGCCTCTACCAGCGGCTGCGGCCGCAGCTGCAGCTGTGCTGGACACTGGTGGGTGTGCGGCAACGCCGCCAATACCGCCAGAAACACTGGTGATCAGCCTGACCACTCTATTGCCGCCCCAGCTGATCACGCCCATCACGCGCACCGCTGCTGCTCTGCTGGCCACCATGGTGCACGCCGCGGGGGTGGGCAGCGGCCGCACCGCACCCCGTGGGGCGGGCAACGCCGCGCTCGCCACGCGGCAGTGGGTCGCCGCCCTCCTGGCCGGCGCCGCGGCCCTATCCCTGGCCGCCGCAGCCATGGCGGCCAGCTTTGCTGAAGCCGCAGTCCCGGGCTTTGGCGGAGGGTGGTGGCGCTGCTGGGCAGCGGCGCTGTCAATTGTGGCACTGGCTCGTACCTTCAGCGTGTTGGAGGCTGCCCCCGTGCAGGCCGCCGTCGCCGCAGTTCTAGCCATGCTGCGCATGCGCTGGAGGCGGCCCACGCTTCAGCCGCCACCGTCGGCGCCCCCCGCTGCTGTCGCTGCTGCAGCCGCCGATGCCTCTGGGGCCCCATTCCTGCCCGCAGCAGCATCGGCTACGGGCGCGGGGGCTGCGCCCTCGGCTGCGCTGCCATGCCCGCAGGCAGCTGGCAGCGGCCCGCGCTGCCTGCTAGTATCGACGGCGCTGTTCCCTGCGCCGCCTGCTGCCGCGCCTGCGCACATCGGCGGCGCCGCAGGGGACGAGGCGCGTACCCCCGCTGCCGGCATCGACCTGGGGATGCTGCAGCAGCTGCTGCGCCAGCACCAGCGCGGCGCGGCAGGCAGTGCGCGGCCCACACAGGAGGCGGCCGCACGCAGCTCCCTCTACGTGTCTCCGCTGAGGCATGTATTTGTCGGTGCCAAGGTGCGTGGTCTACGGCCTCGATCAGAACGGCAGATGTGGTTCACAGAGCCTGTGCGGACATGGGGCGTGGTGGAGATGTGCGGGTGTTCATTTGCCCTCGTGCAAGCCGCATGCGGCTAGCGTCTTTTTGCATGCGCTCGTGCGTGGTGCGGCGCGCCGCAACAGTCCATTTTGCAGGAGCTCCCCCGGGGAGCTTCTAGGGCCCTCACTGCATCACTGCATGCAGCATGTGATTGCCGTTCTGGTGTTCAGTCCTGACTTCAACGTGCATCCCCTGACTGATGCACGCCCTGCACTGAGCGTGCTTTAAAGAGCTCGGGCACCCACAACATCCACTCACCCTTCCCAGGTGCGCGACAATCCTTCAGACGTCCAGGCCTACGCGTCACGCCTTTCAAACGAGGTTTCATCTTCCCTCGGTGCAGCTGCCGCGCAGCTGCCGGCCCCCGCCAGCACCAGCGCCCCCGCTGCCCCGCTCGCCGCTGGCGTTGTCGCGGAGCTCGCGTCGCCGCGCATGCCCACCCTTGTGCAGACGGTGGTGCTGCAGGGCTGCGCGCAGCTCGTGGGCTGGGCCGCCAGCGCACGACAACGGCCCGCGCGGGGCGAGCCGCTGCAGCCAGCCGCCAGCGCCTCCCCGAGGCCCGGGTGCGCGCGGCTCCTCGAGCATTGCGTGATCGACAACGTGCTGGCGGGCAGCGCGCTGCTGCGCGCCGCCGGCGCCGCGACGCTGCAGACCGGCAGCACCGTGGCGACGCTCGGCGGCGCGGCGCGCGCGCCGTCCCTCGCGCCGCTCTGCGCCCGCGCCGCTTGCGGAGGCGTCAACGGCTGCGACGATCTCCCACTGCTTTACGCGTGGCCCTGCTGCCTGCCCATCATTGCGCCGGCCGACACCCCGCGCGGCGGTCCAGGCGGCGCAGGCGGCGCAGGCGGCGCAGGCGGTGGCGGCACCGCGGCGGCGCAGCCGCCCGTCAGCGTGGAGGTCTGGCTCGCGCCCGCCAGCGCCGCGGCCACGGCGGGCGTGCGGCGGCTGCAGGCGCGCGCGCTGCTGACGAGCAGCGCCGGCGTGCTGCTGGACGCGCCGCTGGAGCTTGATGCCGCCCGCCCGTTTGCCAGGTGGGGTGCTGCGGCTGGCTGGGGTTTTGGTGTTGGGCGAGGCTGGGCCGAGGCGGGCTGCAGTGGATGTGAGACGGTGGCGCAGGTCTTTGTTGGGGGTGAGCACAAAGCGCCTTGATGGCTGCCCTGCAATCAGACGCAGCCCTGTTGTTGCATGCGATCGGCAAGGCGCTTTCGCTGCTGGTTTCTGGGCAGCGGTCAAATCCTCCCTTGCCTTGAAGTCCTCTCATCCCCACCCTCCGGCCCGCTCAAGACCGTATTTACACCCACACCTACACCCTTCACGAAGGATCAAGCTGCCCCCTGGCATCCAGCTGCAGCAGGGTGCTTTCAAGCTGTGCATCCTCTCAGGCACAACCCCGGCCACCGCCGCCGCCCCCGCCGCTCCCGTCGCCCACGCCGCTCCCGCTGTCCCCTCCGCGGCGGGTGCCGCCCCGTGTCCCTTGATTCCGCCGGACCGCCCCAGCGTTCTTGATGCGCCCGCCGGCGGCCCCATCCCCGGCCGCGGGGCCTGGCGCGGCAGCGTCGTGCATGACAGTCCGGGTGGCGCCGCGGGCGCGCGCGGCCACGCGTCGCGGCGCTGCAGCGGCGCGACAGCGTCTTCCCGCTACGGCGGCTTCCTTAGCGCCTTTGGGGGCGCCAACCCCGCGGCGCCCCGCCCAGAAGAGGGAGAGGACGGCGCCGCCAGTGCCGCCGCTCGTGCGGCGGGCGCGGCGGGGCTGCTGCCGCCCGACGGCTGCGTGCTCGCGTCGCTGCCGCTGTTCGTGCTGCCGGGTGCTGCCGCGGCCGAGCTGTCGGCGCTGCTGGACACTATGGCCTCAGAGTTTGACGCCGAACACTCTCACGCAGGCGCCACCGCCGCCGCCGCCACGGCCACCGCGTCTGCGCCCGCTGCCATGCACCCGTCCAAGCCCCCCGCCGGCGCGGCGCCGCCCGCCCCGTGCGGGCTGCTGCGCCGCCTGAGCCGCGGGGCCCTGGGGCCGCCGGCCTGGCTCAAGCGCGCTCTGGCCGCAGAGGCGGAGGCGTCGGAGGCGGGCCCCTCCGCCCGCGAGCCGCCGCCGGGGCCGCGGGCGGCGGCGTGGCGGGAGCACTGGCGGCCGCTGGCGGACGACCTGGGCTTCGTGGCCGCGCTGGCGGCCTGCGGCGGGGCGGGGGGGGGGAGGAGGCGGCTCAATGTGTGAGGCGGGTGGCGCACACCTGGCAGACACTGCCACGGTGGGCGACACTGCTTCCCTTGGGCGGCCCAGCTGCCCCCACCTCATCCTACCCCACCCCATGCCATGC